ACAATAAAATAATTTTTTTTTAAAATTGCTATGCATTAGGGTGTGTAATTACTCTAATTCATCACAGAGACAACTGCAAATTGCAGACTTTGGCCACGAAGTAACCTTTCTTCTTTAAAATTATAGTTACCATCTTTAATTTGCTACTTTTCTTCAATAGTGAAACTACATGCCAATGAAACTCTTTTTCTTTAAGTTAATGTAAACAAATTTCTACTAAATTAAAAAAAAAATTAATGGTCTTTTCAAAATACGAGAATGTTTCTGAAGTTGTTTTCCCTAGTCAGTAGAATCTAACCTCCTAGTGACCTGTTTATATAAGAAAGTTTATTCATGAGAGGCGATGGAAATGAGCCTAGGATCTAGAGTCAAGAATCTAGACGTGTACCCTGGCGCCACCACTGACAAACTGTTTTGTTTTTTTAGGTTTTTTTGAGTGCAAAGAGGTAGTCATTTGACCTTTGGGAGCCTCAACTTTCTCATCGGTAAATTAGAGATAAAACAACAACATTTATTTCTCTATTTGTATGATCTTATGTGATTATTTGCAAATATTAATTAGTATTGTTGAGAAATATGGGAAAAGATAAGATTATTGGACAGAAAATAATAATAATACACTATCACTAATGTGTAAAAAGCAAAGCGCTTCGTTTAAATGTTGGAGGTGTATTTGGGTTGTCTATAAACAGCATCCTGTTAATAAACATTATTAAATACCATAAAAAAAAAAAAGTAATTTTAGCCTCCCATCTGCTGCTAACCCTAAAAGAAATCCAAAAGTAAAAAGACAATTATAACTATAATAGCACAAATTCTCTAAATGTGGTTATTTGGATCTTCCTACATCTTGACCTTCTTAAAAATTGTTAGTTTTCTTTTTAATAGAATAAACTCAAAACTTATATTCTATTTTATTCTACTGCATGCCATGATGAAGGACTCTTTATTCATCTCTCGGGAATCTAATTAATGTGGCTAGTACCAGACTTTACTTTTACCATATTTAATCATCTCTCTGGGCACTTTAGCACTTCAGTGGAAGAGAAAAACTTTATCCCTCATCTATAACTTGGAGAAGGTTAGCCAACTTAAGGGTTTTGGGAAGAGAACTGCATTACAGGAGATGAAAAAGAAGGCTTGAACTCTCAAGCCTCTCAAACATATTGCAATCTTTTAAAATGTCAATTGAATTACATTACCAATTATACCTGGAATCCCAAGTTTTTGCAGGGATTTACAATCAGTAAATGAGGACATTCACAAATCTACTCTGCAGAGTCACCTTTCTACCCAGTGCTGCTGAATTTAAGAGAAATGTCCATTCCCTGTGGGATACATTCAAAGACTGGAAAATTGTGCTGTTGGTAGTGTCTTAATTGGGTTTGTGACCTAAAAATAAATCTATACAAATACCTACCTCTGCATTTTTTTTTTTTTTTTTTTGTATACTGGATAAATACATAAAAAGCAATCACAAAAGTATGCAGAGGTAGATATTTATGTGACTTCATTGTTGAAAGAAAAAGTCAAATTATGAATCTGGAATCAAATTATGGATCTGGAAGAATTTTAACTTCCCAGGAAAAAGCTCTACCTTCAATAGCATTTTAAAAATGTTCTGTTGATAGGAGCTTAAAGAGGACATGGGGTAGACGGAGCATTTCAATGCTTAAAAGTTTGATTTGCTGCTATGAAAAGATCACATTCATGAAAGGTACTGACACAATGTATAAGGATTAACTTGTTAAATTACCTATTGATCCAGAGTTAATAACAGATGTCCAATACTCTATTAAGTAGTTATATACATAAATCTTCAATTTCAAAGGCTTTTCTCTTTCTTTAATTTTATATTATATAAGTAATATATTCACTTTAAGAAAATCAGAAGAAATAATAAAAATTCACATAATTCCATTACTCAGAGATAACCCCTCTTAACAGACTATACTTATTTGTTTCTAAATTTTTTAATTGACTATTATTTTAAACATACATTTCTTTTTACAAAATAGAGGCAAACTTTACCTACTATTTATACCATTAAAAATCAACAATATATTATGAACATCTTGTGTCATTAACTATTTTTCTAAGATACATTATTGACTACATTTGAATCCCACTGCTTGAATGTGCCACAATTGCTAAAAAAAAAAAAATCCTTACTGTTGGCATTCAGAATATTTATAGGTTTTATTTATTTTATTTGATGTTAACAATTTTAGAAATCACCCTAAATACAGAATAAATATTTAGATCAAGTTCTCAGCCCAAAGGAAGGAATTTTAAATTCATTTGCCTTTTTTTGAAAATTATTTTTTTTTTTTTTTTTTTTTTTTTGAGACAGAGTCTCATGCTTGCTGCCTGGCTAGAGTGCCCTGGCATCAGCCTAGCTCACGGCATCCTCAAACTCCTGGGCTCAAATGATTCTCCTGCCTCAGCCTCCCAAAGTAGCTGGGACTACAGGCATGTGCCACCATGCACGGCTAATATATATATAGTTGTCCAGCTAATTTCTTTTTATTTTTGAGTAGAGATGGGGTCTTGTTCTTGCTCAGGCTGGTCTTGAACTCCTGAGCTCAAATGATCCTCCCACCTTGGCCTCCCAGAGTGCTAGGATTACAGGCATGAGCCACCATGTCTGGTTGCCTTTTTGAAATTCTTGGCCCTTATTCTTTCTAAGGAGCAAGAATTATTCTATGAGAAAACTAAACTGTATTAGAAATACATAGCATAGGACCAAGTTGGAAGTAAAAGGTGGAGCAGAGGCCCATCACAGGTGTGGTAGTAAGAGGGTGCATAGTCTGCAGAGAATTAAAAAGCAACAATAATAGTAACTAAATCTGTCTGTTTTATCACCATGTGCTGAAAAAATTCTAAAAAATGTCAATGGAAAAAAACATCTCTTCCTACCAGGGCAAACCACTTCTACCACCCACTCCTTGATAAGCCAGACTATCTTAGAAGAGGAAGAATGTGATTGGATACATTTAAACCGGCTTTTTTATAGACTCATCTATCCTGAAATGTCACCCAATGCTTGCACTGAAGCAGGACATTTTGACCTTAATTAGCAGAGGATAAGGTCAGGGAGGTGTACTATTCAATCAGTAACAAACAGGAGCATTATTACATCATCAGAGATCACAATCAATACTGACCTTCTCTTTTCTCTATTTGCATTAAAGATGTTCACTGAAAATGTAAATGGATCTGAAAAGTTACTGTGTTTAGAATATGTTTGGAAATGTTGAGAATATCTATTTACAAAGCAAAAGGAAATAGATAATTGTGCTGTACACAGATAATTGAAGGGAAAGCTGAAAAAAATCAGTTGTTTCACTATAATTTCTATAATCTCAAGTAGTACTGAGAACTTGAAATACAGCTATTGTGACTGACAAGATGCATTTTTGGTTCTATGTAATATTAATTAGTTTAAATTTGATTTGACATGTTGGAGTCAGACGTGACTAGTGGCTAGTCTACTGGGCAGTGTAGCTAAAGAAGAAGTGAGAGTCAAAAACCAGCCAGGGGTTTCAGGGAAGACTCCCCAGAAGAGATGAGAGTATTCAAAGTTAGCCAGTTTGATATAAAGGAGCAAGAGTTTTAAATAGGTTATTTTAAAAATGCACTTAGAAATATACTTGGCCTTTAAGAAAAAAAGATATTGGGGTTAAATCTGCATTAGTTCAGATTCAATATAATGTTCCCTCTCTTCAAGAATATCTTGAAGTGAAGCTTCCTAAATCGGAAGGCCAGAATGTTATAAACTGCTGCTTGAAGCAAATCCTCTAAGACTTTTCCATGAACAGATTCCCTAAAAACAAAACTGAAGACAATTTTAATCAGGGGACTGGGGAGGGGGAGGGGGCGGGGAGAGGGGGGAGTGAGTGTTCCTGTCAGCACATATGACATTGGGAGACGGTTGCTTGCTTCTCTGTGTAATTGGGCTTGGTCTTACCTCACTTTTCGGGTTTGCACGCCCTCTCCACAGTTATCCCGCATATTCACAAAGGTCACCTTGCAGACGCTCCAGGGCTCCGTGACCCATATGTACTGGTTGCAGTCACTGTGACATGGGACGACCTCATACACCTGAAACACACATGGGTCTCAGCGATCTCAGGGAATGCCACGAGGGTGAGTGGGAAGACTGTTACATCACAACAATCATTACTTCATTGATAAGCTACTTCCACTTCTATCCTTCATTGCTCATTATTCTAAAATAGCAATAGAGAGAAATCTCCGGAGGCTGGTCCTCTTGTAGTCTGTTGCTCTGCTAGTATGTTGCAAGTACAGATCTGACCCACTGGACCACAATAGATACATTACTCATTTTCCGCACTGTATTGTAATTTTCTGGACTACCTGTCCTGTTCCCAGTTTTGTGTGTCTTCAATACTTAGCTCAGGGGTGCTCATATGCGAAGCACTCAATAGAGATTTGTTGAATAAATGAATGAATGGGTGAATGGATGAATTAAATGAGCATAAAAACATAGATGTTTTCTGCATAAACATAATTTGGCCTCTTTTCCAGATAAATATGTGTAAGAATGAGGATTTATTTTTCTTGTGTTTCATATAGAAAGCTAAATTAAAAGATAAAAAATACAAAAATAAAGCCATCTTAAAACTAATCCTCAACCATTTAGGGCTTGAAAGGAGGCAATCTGAAATTGATCTCATTATATAGCTACAGCCCCAAGAAATGAGGACCACATGAAACAAAGCAAATTGTCAGTGCCCTGGTGTCTGTCCATAAGCCACACATTTTGGGTAGTATGCTTGGGTTTCAGGGTTTTTAGAACAACGAACAAATTATGCTCTTTTCTCAATGAGAAGAATAACTAAATAAAGGAAATAAATGGCCCATAATCCACTGCAACCAAGCTGGCTCAACCATGAAAGAAAAGTCTCTTAAAATATTTTCATAATCTATGATAGTGAAACTTTACTTTCTATTTTACACACATACACACACACAACAGAAACTATGGTATATAAATGTTTTATATTAAACATAACTAATTACAGAGCATATAAATAGCCTTTTGGAGCCATTCTTTTGTGTCAATTTTAGTGGACTGAAAACCCAAGTTAAATGAATACAGTGGACCTATCCCAAATAGAAATAAAAAAATACGCACTGTTGGAATCAGATTCCGCAATGAATGCCATAATTGACCTCATTCACATTTGGGTGCTATGTTAAAACAGGACTACACAGCACAGCTTGTAGGGAAGGGACAATGCTGTCCTCCCTAATTCTTTGCTGGCTTTCATTTTAATCTACCAAATTAAAGTGAATACAAATCAGTTCAGAGCAATCTCCACCCACCCATTTTCAGCCCACCTGAACCATTCCCCTCTCCCTCTGAAAGCATGAGAATTTTAATGAGGGGTGGCATTGCCTTGTCAAGGTTAGTGTAGTGAATCTTGTTCTCCCCACTCTGTCACCTCAGGCCTTGGTATTAAAATAGTGAAATGCAAGTGACTATGCTAGGAAATAAAAAGGGAACAGCTACAGAAAAAAAATTTTTAAGGGAAAATGTGATATTTTCTTCTTGTAAAACATAAAAGACAATAGCAGGAAAAGAAAAACATTCTCAGAAATCAGAATTTTTTTTCTTTAAAAACGCATTCTATTAAAAACCATGAGCTTTAAGAGTTCTTACCTGTGCCTGGGGTAGTGTTCAACAGGAATGAAGAAAAGGGAGAAAACCAAAGATAAATAAAAATATCAGTACATTATGAGAAGAACTTGTGGGATAAGTCGCAAATATTATTATCCATATAGAATAGCCTACTTTTTTCAATAAAAGATTAGAACATTTTAAGTAAGATACACAAATGTTTGCAGGATGAAAAAAATCTTAGAAAACTGAATTGACCTCAAATTACATAACTCAGGGAATTGATATATATTGAAAATAACTTGTAATCCAACTAGTGAATAGACTATTATTTATCTAGCAATGGATCTATCCATTGATTGATCTTAATCAATTGATCCATCTGTTTTGTAGAAAATGAGGATTTGAGGATTTGCTTGCTCAACTGGAAAATGGACCTTTGGAGATCATTTTCAAGCCAATGGGCCACTGGTTATTTTACTGAGGAATGTATACTTGCAGTAAAAATCTATGTGATTTATAATTGTTAACAAGAACATAAAACCTTGCATATTATTTACTTTTCCTAAATATTTTACTAATACATAAATCCCTAGTAATTTCTGTTTTTATTTGGAACATTTATACACAAAGTTGGATGTTTAAAAGTCGATTTTGTCTTATTTTAGCTTTGATTTTTTAGTTGTTAATGTCTTAATAAACCTCCAGTAAACTGATAAAAAAAGTACAGAAATGTCCCTATTGAACTCTAGCAGATTATATCAGAGTTGGAAAGTGACCGAGAAATTGTTTACACTAAAGGCTTTTCACAATAAAGATAATTCGACACAAGGTCTTGAACCTTTGGAGACTAACCATTAAATAAAATGTTAAGGCAACACAGCCTATTTTAACTGCAGATCTACCTTGGTGTACATATACACACTAAAGTGAAATGGGTATGAATATGTATAGAATTTCTCTGCATTAAGATTGTAGATCATAATTTATTAAAATTTAAATTTGCTCCTCGAAATTTATGGTTTTAAAATTTGTAGAGAAATATTCTTTTGTATTATCTACATTTTGGTTTAGCTATTTGCTTTACAATTATATAATTAGAATCATGGAACAGAATTATATTCTTGGGAAATTTCACTAGCGTCTTAGGAAAGTAAAATGCTCTGACAGGGAAGTTCAGTTACCAGTAGATGGCAGCAGTGGAGTATATTATTCGCTCTCAGTTGCATTTAAAAGATAAATTCAGCAACTTCGCTTTGGAAAAATTGAGATTCTTTGAGAGTATTTTCAATGAAATCTAATTCTCTGTCTCATCTTTATTTTATTAAAAAGTTCTTTCTGTTTTTCTCTAAAATTTTTTATGAACAAAGTCAGATTAATTTAGGAAGGAAAGTATGTGTACTGGAAGGCAGTATGTTGGGAGATTAAAATTAGTCTATGTGTATGAATGAAACATTTCTACATATTTAAGGACTTGGTTCATTTGATTGTAACTTAAATTCGAATATACAACTGAACATTTACACACTGTATATGAAGCTTATTCTTTGTTAATTTATATGGAGGCCAAACTTGATAATAATGGTCTGATACATTACATTTCATTTAAATCAGTCACAATTCCCTCATTAGCCTTTTTTTACTTTTTCTCTCCAATAGACTACAAGTAACAACTATTAACAGTAACTAAGGAAGCATGCATCCAAAATCAAATAGTGTTCCAAATAAAATTGAAAATGAGCAATGACTAAATTGATAGCATACTTACAACAACTTTGAGTCCATCTTTATATTTCCTTTTCCTCAATTTATTTTATAGCAAACAAATTTAAACATATAAACAGTATATTTTTCCTAATTTTAGACCCACACCCACACACTTTCTGTGATTTTAATTTAATTAGTTGGTAATTGAGATATCTTTTCTGAGAGTTCAGGGGAGCTGTAAGAATGAGATAATCTCAGCCTGCAAATTAGATACAATTTTATGACAGATTAAATACCTTGACATTATTTCAAAGACAGGTGTCATTTTTCTCTACACTGAATTATATTAATATTCATACACTTGCAGGGTACTGAATCTCCAGAGAAAACATAGATAATATAACTAATGTGGGATTTTAATAATACATGTATTTACTCAAGCATTCTAAAAATACAATGGGTGAAATTTTTTATTCAGGAGCTATTATTTACCCTGCTCCATTTTAGAGAAAAAAAACCCAGATCATTGCGAATCTCAACAATTATCTTGACATGCTCAATGGTGGAAATTACCTGGTTGACATGATCCAGTTTGGGGCAAGGCCTTCCTCCATTATACGGTTTTTCCCGCAGCCATTTAGAGCGAACCTTCACGCCGCTCCCACAGGACTTACTGCAGCGCGACCAGTTGGACCACTCACTGAGCTTGCAGTCTGAGGGGCAGGGGATGATGCAGGCCTCTTCAATGTAACCTGTGTGCGGGAAAATGAGACGAGAACCATCTCTCCCACCTGTCACTCTCCCCACTGCCACCCACCACCATTCTAGCTCATTTAGAGGTTCCAAGTCTGACTTGACAACAGCATGCAAATGCAGAGGTGTCTCCGTTGTTAGGGACTCAAATTAAATTCTGCGGGAAAATGACACATACATGTGACGACTCTGTTAAAATAACAGCTGAGCAGCTGCCATATGATCTGCTTAGGATTCATGCTCACCATATTTAAACATTTCTGACTTTCTGACAGCTCGTGTTTAATTGACAATAACCTGTCTGCTACCATATCATTCTCATGCTGCCAGAATGATATATTAAAAAAATTAGAACATAGTTATCTGTAAAACCCTATCTGTTAATGTCATATAAGTTCAGGGTTCCGAGTCCATGCAATGTTTTCCCTCTAGAAGAAAGGCCAGCCCCTTTCAATCAATATACAAAAGGAACCATCTAACTTAGCACCTTATGTTTCCCCTTCTTTGAAAATCAAGTCTGAAGAAAAAAATGAGAGATGTTATATAAATAATGCCTCATATTTTCACAGTGCTGTCAGTTTCAAAGCACCTTCATTTCATATCTTGTATCCATTTGATTCTCTTGAAAATCTTATAAATGTGTAGGTATTGAAATTCTAACAACCAGAAAAAAAAAAATGCAGAGAGATGACTGACAAGCCCAATGTCACACAATAAGAGATGGGGCAAGGTTTTCTAAGGTCTAGCCTAGTGCTCATTCTATCAAATCACACAGATGGTTAAATTAATAGTCTACAGATTTGTTTTGGAAAATGGGAGCATTTGCCTTGAATAGTCCTTTACTACTAACTTGGCATCTCACAATATTAGCTTATCATTATTATTCTCAAGGCAAATATGTGGAAAAACAAAATTCCTCTAGTCAAGAATCAAATGCATGGCTGTCCTCCATAATATTGTGGAGAAGGTTGTTTCTGATACAAGGAAACACTCTGCCTTATCATTTTATCTCAACAGCGGAAACATGATTTTGAAGATTATTATAATATAAACAATTTTCACTAGAAAACTCAGGTAGGTTTAAAAACTTACTGAGATATAATTTCTATACCATGGGCCGAGCGTGGTGGCTCACACCTGTAATCCTAGTACTTAGGAGGCCGAGGGGGGTGGATTTCTCGAAGTCAGGAGTTTGAAACCAGCCTGAGCAAGAGCGAGACCCTGTCTCTACTATAAATAGAAAGAAATTAATTGGCTAACTAATATATACAGAAAAAATTAGCCGGGCATGGTGGCGCAGGCCTGTAGTCCCAGCTACTTGAGAGGCTGAGGGAGTAGGATCGCTTGAGCCCAGGAGTTTGAGGTTGCTGTGAGCTAGGCTGACGCCACGGCACTCACTCTAGCCTGGGCAACAAAGTGAGACTCTGTCTCAACAAAAACAAAGAATTCCTATACCATGAAAATCAGCTCATGTTTTGGCTTTTAGTATATCTGCTGAGTTGTGCAATCATCACCACCATCTAATTTTAGAACATTTTTATCACCCTAAAAAATACCCTATATTTGTTGACAAACACTTCTCATTTTCCCTTTCCTCATTCCCTGCCAACCACTAATTTACATTCTGTTTCTATGAATTTGCCTATTTTGGACATTTTATATAGATATGAAATCAAACATTATGTGGTCTTTTGTGATTGGCTTTGTTCACTTAGTACAATGTTTTTCAAGGTTCATCTACTTTTTAGCATGTGTCAGTACTTTCTCTTTGTATGAATGATTAAGGTTTCATTGTATGGATATACTACATTTTGCTTATCCATTCCTTGGACATTTGAGTTGTTTCCACATTTTGTCGCTTATGAATACTGCTGCTAAGGAATGTGTATACAAGTTTCTATGTGGATAAAAATCTTCAGTTCTCTTGAAAATATACCTAGGAGTGGAATTGCTTATTCATATGGCAATTCTATATTTAACTTGTTCAGGAGATGTTAAACTGTTTTTCCAAATGACTGCACCATTTTACATTCTGCCAGCAATGTATAACTGTTCTAATTTTTACAAAGCCTTGTCAAATTTGTTATCTATCTTTTTTATTTTAGTATACTTTGAAGAACAAAAGTTTTGTTAATAAAGTCCAATTTATCTATTTTTTTTTCCTTTGGTTGCTTATACTTTGGTATTATATCTAGGAAATCATTACCTAATCCAAGGTCATAAAGGTTTACACCAAGGTTTTTTCTAAGAAGTTTACAGTTGTAGCTCTTATATTTACATAGATTTTTATTTTGAGTTAATTTTTGTATATGATGAAAGGTAGGGGTCCAACTTCATTCTTTTGCATATGGCTGTTGAGTTATCTGAATCCATTTGTTAAAAAGACTATTCTGTTCCCATTAAATTGTTTGGCACTCTTGTTAAAAATCAATTGACTATAAATGTGTTTGTTTTTGCACTCTAAATTCCATTCCATTTATGTCTATATCTAGTCTTATGCCAGTACCACACTGTCTTGTCTACTGGAACTTTGTATTAAGTTTTGAAATAAGGAATTATGGGTCTTTCTACTTAGTTCTTCTTTTTAAAGACAGTTTGGGCAATTTTGAATCCCTTCTATTTCTATATGCATTTTAGAATATGATTGTCAATTTCTACAAAAAAGGGTAGATAGGACTTTGATAGAAATTATTGCATTACATCCATTGATCAATTTGAGAGTATTGCCATCTTAATCCAGGTACGTGGCATTTCTTTCCATTTATTTATATCTTCTTTAACTTCCTCCCATGATGTTTTGTGGTTTTCAGTGTACAAGTCGTTATACTTATTCCTAATTATTTTATTCTTTTTACTCTAGGTATTTAATAGATTTAAAAAAGAACCAGTAAGCATTGATTTCTTTAATTATTGGAAAATCAGACAACCTTTAAACCCAAATTGCAAATTTAATCCATAAATTTGTGCCCAACCATCCTTGAGTGAAACAGTGATAAAATGCCAGCCAATTTACTATCTAGCATTTTCTAGCCTTGCCTAATCATAAAATACCTGGGACACATGTTAAAAGTATAGGCTCCCACCTCCCTCTGACATTCTGATAGAGTTCACCTGGGACAGGCTTTGATATTTGGAAATTAATATATTTTCTTGTGTTTATTCAGCTCCCCCTCTTTTTTTGTTAATTGAACTTTTAAAAATCAGGATAATTAATAGATTCACATGCAACTGCAAGAAATAATAGAGAGAGGGTCTTGGTATACTTTTCCAAGTTTCCCCAATGGTGGCTAGAATATGATTTCAACCAAGATATTGTTATTGATACAATCTATTGAGATTACTCAGTTTTCACCAGTACAGTTTCAGTTGTACTTATTTGTGGGTGTAAGAGTGTATAAGACTGAAGTTGGGGAACACAATTGTAAGATATAGGTGGAACCAGAAAAATCTGGAAGAGAAAAAGACTTGTGGCATATCTTTCTACATATTATCTCTTATACTTTCATCAAAGACATGCATCATTTGTTTTAAACTTTCAATTTAGTCTCCATACACAAAAGCGCATCTTTCATGAGTGTAAAATTCACTGAACACACCCCTGAAGTCCATACTCTGGAACACTCCTTTGTGTTGGCTTCTAGTCACTATCCTTTCTTACAAGGGCAACCACCATTCTGACTTCTCACAATGTAGAATAGTCATACTTTTTAAAAATTTTATGTAAATGGAATCATATAGTGTATACCTATTTATGCTATCCTTCTTTCAGTCTACCTTGCTATATGAGATTCATCCATATTGTTGTATATGTTTATTCTAATTGGATGTGTGGCACTGTATTCTGTGAATATACTATGGCTTAGTCACTCTATTATTATTGGTGAGCATAGGGGTAGTTTTCAATATGGGGCCATTATTAACAGTGCTGCTATAAACCTTCTAGAACATGTATTTTGGTGAATATATGTATACATTTCTGTTGGGTGTATTCCTAGGAGAGAAATTGATGAGTCAGAGGACATAACCTTATTGTAAGTTATTGTTATTGAAGAATAAGAGACATTTAAAAAATGGGATTGCGAGTTTGGTACAAAGAGCAGGATCCAATTAAATAGTTTTAAAAAGTGGGGGTTAGTTCCAGATAATAGCATGGGGAGAAGATGTGCCACTTGGGGTTTTTTCAGTTGTGAGACATTGAAGACAGAAAGAAGATGCCAGTGCTAAGTTTCGAATGTACTTCTGATATTGGAGTATTGATAATGATTCAGAGGAAAGTACAACAAATAATTGAAGGAGTGCTTTGCAATAGCGTTTACTGAAATTTTAAAAAGCATAGCTATGCTTCAAAGAGATTGCATTGATCTATTAAAACCTCATACATTGATTTAATTATGATTTGAGGTGGAGAAATAAGCCCCTTTCACTATTTTGAGTTGAAGTATATTTCAAATGCCATTCCCTTTATCCTATAGCATAGTTAGTAAATAAATGTATCTAAACTAGGATGAGATGCCTAAAAAATAACTCCTGATCAGGCCAGTAATGATTTGTTTTCCTTTAAAAAGTAACAGTTTAATAAATAGAATCAAACTTAAAAATGTGTAAAGTCATTTCCAAATCAATGGCATTATAACCAACCTATTTAATAATATTTGTAAAAGTACAACAAATTTCAAAAAATCCCAATCATATCCAAATATTGTCAGTGGCTTTGGCAAAAGGACATTAGTACTCCAAACATAATAAGTTATTTAAAATATTTCTAGAAGAATTGCATTTCTCCACCTTGATAAAATGCAAAGTGACAGTCAAAAATAAACCTTTAACCTTTTATTATTCAATAACCACAATTGAAAATAGAATCACATGATCTTTCATGTCACTACTTTACAGAGTAACAGATAAATGGAAATTCTTTCTTTCCATTTTATCTGTGGAAATATTATGGCATTAGTGAGATTTAATGTATATGACTTTAGACTGATTCTCATTGTATTAT